GGGTAGTTATCTAACTCTTCTTATTATCTATGTTTTATTGTTGATCTTGTAAAAACCAAATGATTTGCAGTGTAGTCTCTTTATCATTATGAACATGAAACAAACATAAATAAGCTGCTTTAGTTAATTTTAGATTGCAGCACACAGTCAGCTCATTCAGACAATTTAAAGTTTTCAATCAAAGGAAACGCAGCTGATTGCATCAAGTCAAATTCAGCAGGTAAATCAGATTATCTGCTAATTGAATTAATATTTTTGGCCTTAAAACAAGTTAAATATTATGCCCGTTAGATAAGATAATAGAGTTTTTTTTTTACTTATTAACTAAAAACAAGAGAAAATACACTCATACCAAAAAACTGATCCTACTTAGATTTCAATTTTTGCAGTGCTTCCCATCCTTGAATTGCAGAATGGATGAATTGTGTGTTTGAGGCTATCTCAGTCTTTGTGACTCATAGGAGAGCTTTAGTCCTGGGTTTAAATCCTGATCTGGAGACCTTTGATGCATGTGTGTCCTCTCTTTACCACCTGCTCCTTTCTTGGCTTTCTACTAGCTGTAAAAGCCTGTATAATGTAGAAAATATAATCCTTTATTACAGTCTCTATTACCATCTTCTCTTGGGTCAGTTACGACCTTAAGTTAAGGTGGCTGATACAAAGTTTTGAACCAATTTGACCGTATGATCTGGTTGAATTGTCTCTATAGAGTGCCTTGAGCTGATATGTGTTGTGAATTGGCGCTAAAGAAATAAAGTGAATTGGACTGAATTATCACAACTCAGAAATTGAAACAGAGTTACAAGTTTAGACATAAAATCAGATGCTAGTTATAAAATAAAAGAAATTAGCCTGATATCATCAGTCAAACCTGAAATAATAAGGATTGCTTTAACAATTATGGAGCATGAGCAACACTGCAAAAACTGATCTACAGCTGATTTACTTATTTATAAGGTCAGTAAATCTCTGCTGTACAAATGCAATAATCCAAGTAACAACTATGTAGTATTCTCTTACCGCTCTACTGTACAATTATCAGGGAAACATATTCCAGGAAATTACATTACATTAATCCTTTTTTTGTATTGTATAGACTCTTTTTATATAGTCTGTCGTATTTTTATATTTAATGGAATCTTGCTTTAACGATTTGTACTTTAAGGAGTAATCCCAAGGGATAAATAGAGTTGAATTATAACTAGAATCAGCTGACTTTGCTCCTAATTTGAGCAGATAAATATGATGATCTTCTATGATACTATTCACTTGAAATAAGATATTGGAGTCAGTTTTTCTTTTTTTTTATGCATCCAAGTTTTCTTTGACAGTTTAAGGTGTTTGGTTGCTATCAGATTGATGTCAGGATTCCTCCCAGAATTAGGGATTCTAGTTTCCAGCTCCTTTAAAATCACCAAAGGAAAATCAGTTTGTTATCTTCATAACATATTTGTCTTGTTAAAGCTTGATTTTTAAAGTCAGTGGTGCCTAAATGAGTAAAATGCTAAACTGCAGGTTATCAGACACTGAATGTGCAAATCCAGACCTTCCCAGGCTGACTGGGTGTTGCATACCACTTCTATTTCAGTTAAAAGGGATTTTTTTGTTGTGCAAATTAATGAAGACCCTCACAGTCCTTCATTCATGTCAATGAATGCCACAGTTTGCCTCTTTTTAAAGAGGCAAACTGTGGCATTCAAACACTGAGGCTGCTCAGTTTCTCTTATGAATGTTTCTGGTTTATTTTGGCTAAATCTTCCATTGGGAGAACATGTTTCTCATGTCTCTGGGAGTGGATGTGGTGCTGCTATCAGATCAATATTTGCCTTTGTCTGCTGTAGCCATGGACACCCGCGGTTCTTCTCCAGGTCCATATCAGCTTGTAATTCCTTCTGAGCTGCTTTGTTTTTATATTCTGAAGGTTTTCTTTAATCATGCGATTGGAAAACAAGTTTTGGTGGAGCAGGCTTCAACAAAACAAATTTAGGAAACTAAAAGATATATAAAACATTGAATATCTGTCAAAACAGTCAGTAAAACAAAATATGTTTGGAAAGGAAGCAGAGAAAAGCAATAGCTCATCCAGGCCAGTCCCAATGGTTACATTAAAAACTGTGGGTAAAATAGTAAATATAGATATACACACACACACAAATAATTATATATATATGCGTGTATAAATGGAGTTACAAATGTACCTTTTTCATACAGATCAGAGCTTCATTACTGTACATACGCTCCTAAATTAAGGGGTGAAATAATTTCACTTTGAATCTTTTTCAGTTTTATACAAATTGTTGATGAACTCCTTGGATTTAGTTATGGATCTCAGTACAAGAAAAAAAAAAGTCAACAATTGGAACCCTACTGATTTTTGATTCAATCCAGGTTATTTCTATAACACCAACTCACAGCACATATGATCTCAAGGCTCTTTACAGAGACAATACTGTCAGATTGGTCAGGAAAACCAACTGATTGCATCTGGTCGTTGCTCCTCCTGGATGGGCATTGTATTGTTGACTCTTCAGCAATCCCTCACACCAAGGAGGTATGTAGCAACAGTGGGGAGGAAAATTCCCCTTTAACAGGAAGAAACCTCCAGTAGAACTAGAACCAGGATCAGGCTCATCTGCTCATGGCTCAGCGGCCATCTGCTGAGGTTTTAGATTTAAATTGTCATGATGGGGACTGATGGACCCAGTATTCCTATGGACAGGCAGTGAGAAAGTTCAAAATGTTTATTCACAGAAAAACATTAACGGACAGAACTGAAGCGTGCAGCTGTTGATCTGCGGGGCGGGGTGCAACTAGCACTCTGGTTTAACAGTTTAGTCCAGAGAATAGGCAGAATCCAGCCGATGGACTGCCAAACGAACTGCAACGCAAAGCCGCCCATCAGTGTCCCCCAACACAGCAACCTGCGAGCAGGCAGGAATCCCATCCAGGTCAGTGATACAAAACAGACCGGGACAGTTCTGGAATCCAGGAGTCCTAGGCCCGATCAGGGATTTCCGATCCACAAAGGAACAGAGAGATCCAGGGTTCCAGGAAGGCTGGTTCAGAGTTTCATGTTTCGAGCAACCAGCTCAGATAGAAAATCATAGATGCATAAAGGAAGAATCCAGCAGGAGTCCAAAGATGGTTCAGGCGAACAGATCAGATGGGAGCAGACAGGCTCAGTGGTTGAGAGGGAACAGAATCAGGAAATCAGAAACCACTAAGGAAACACTGAAACGCTTTCACCAGTGAGTAACGAATAAACTCGCCTGAAGACTCTGGTTCTTGAATAATCTCCTCACTAGAATGGGGACATAAACCTTGCCTAACTAAAACTAACGAAACAAACATACAGGCATGAAACATTAAACAAACAATGATCTGGCCCTGATAGCTGGGTAATACCG